AATATTTTTGAACATGCTTCTTCGACAGCCAGTGTTATATTTTTCAGATCAACACAAAGCACAAAGTTACTACTCTAAACTCAATATTTTCAAATTCACATATTTAAAGTCATGCAAGCTGCAACTTCCCTGTCAAAATTACTGGCTGCCAAATTTATACCTGTTTCTTCAGCTGTACCTTTTGATATTTAGAATTTTTAAATTTCTGTAAAGTAGATTTTGTAGACTGTAATGTGTTCACTGCCTTTGTGAAGCGGTATAATTGTATAATTTCGTGTGTAAACTGAATGCTTGGGCTTTCAATACAGTATTCATATAAAGCAATAAATATTAATGTTATGAAATATTCGAGTACATTTTTATCAAAATACAAAAGAATTCCTTTTTTAGTTTCAGACACCTGAGGTACACAGATGGACTTGTAGTAGCTGATGCAAACAGTTTCTCACACTGTATCCTAAGCTTTGGGGGATTTGGAGGGAAGCCACAAGTTTGCATTTTGACTACTTAGACATGACTATGACTAAAAATAACAAGATATTTGGCTCCGTTTGTTCATAGAGTAATATACTACTGACTGACGACCTTCAGGTTCACAGCAGCTAGATATAGTTAGGAATCTGTCTAATAAAATTGAGTGTTGATTTACTGCACCCAAGAGGGGTGAAAATCAAATGTAATTTTTAAAACATTTTGGCAAAAATGTTAAAAAATGAAGCGAATTTTGAATGTGACATTCATGTGTAGTGACCTGTTACTCTATTTTGTTGAGGGATTGCCAGTGAGAGCAGATTTTAACCATTTTAGGTTTAGAAACTTTGAGATTTTCCCTTAGGGTATTTATGAGATTGTTGTCAATAAACCTGTTCTCTAAGCTCCTTTGACCTTTGATAGTTTTTATTTATGGTTCCATGGACCATTTGTAAACAAATCAGTTTGCTGCTGGTTAAAGTTGAAGATTTTAGCATCATGAATGGAGGTCTGTGGTTTTATTTGTAAACTTGCAATTACTATCTTTGCAAGAGAAAATGTATTTCTTTATTAAATAAAGTATAATAATGGTGAATGTACCAAAATGACATCACTCAATTCTGTGAGAGGTCTGCATTTTAATCTATAGTTTAATAGTTTTAATATTTATTAGCTATTCCTATGTTGATCATAGATGAAAGTTGTTGCTGTTTATACAGATACATGTAGGATGCTGGGGAGGGTCTCTAGGGCAGCTGCAGTACTCATCACGTGAAACTATGTTCAGCAGGCTGTAGATGCTTTGGCCCCTTGGAAGCCCATTTCCAGAAGTGTTGTTAGATGCACTTACCATAGGCATTGTGCAAAGAAAGCATCAGTTCTAACATGAACTGAGTCATTTGTATGTTCAAAAGGCGAGTTTTAGGCACATTTCCTTAACGTATGCAGCAAATACGAGAATGATCCAGGAGAATCAAGGTTTTGATGACTGAAGTAGCTGGCCCTCTGATAATGAACAAATTCTTACTCATTTCTCCATTCCCAACCCTGACATGTAATTGGATGATGCTTGTTTTTGCCATTTTTTTCCCCTTTTAAAAAGGGAACATTTTTGAAAAATGTCTTCAGTTCTGGGAATGTGGCAGAGCAAAAATGAGCAGTGAAAATATATTTTGAGTGTTGGTTTGATTTAATCCATTTACTGTTTGTTACAACTACAGCCTTTTCTGTGTGTGGCCAGAGCAGTGGAGTTAGGGAGCTGTAACTATTGGCTTTGGAAAGCTGTCCCAGAAGTCTTGGGTCGTCAGAAAGTCTGGCTGACCTGTTAGAGCATTGAGGACCCAGGGTTTTATTTTGGCAGTGTAGATAGGCATGTATTTGTGCATTTGTAAAATCAATTTTTCAAATAATGTATGTAATGTACTAGTTTACTTAACGGTACCTGGGCAGAGCCTGAAGCTGCTGCAATGTTTGAATGTGAAAACTGTAATGAGAGGACAGAGATGTACCTACAGAGCCAAAGCAAATTATTTTGAGTAGTGTTTCAAATTGTCTTCTGAGAAGGACTTTCTTAGATCTATTGGTTTTGACAAAATGAAGGTCAGTTCTTGAGTTTTGTGCTGATCGTAAGATGAATGGATGAAAAAGACACCTTGTAATTTCATATGGAATTATGAAAACTAGCTTGACTGGGTTATCGGCCTAACAAGGATGCTAGTATGTATTGGCTAGAATACATATATTTCACATTTAAAAAATAATCCAGACACCAGAATTCTCCTTTATTTCAACTTGGAGCCTAGATCACTTTGCCAAATAAATGTATTATTTTCATAATGCAATAAAATGTAAAATAGAAGAATGTCTTCATGTGTGGAATTACTTTCTTTACTATTCTAGCACACCTGCCCCTTCTCCATTTTCCCTCAGTTGAAGGTCCACAGGGAGGAAGCTTAATGTATGACCTAAGTACTTGAGAGCTTGAGGGTGCCGGCAGGGAGATTGCAGAGTTGTGTGGACAGTGGGGTCTTCCCGGCCATATGCAGGTTCTCTGTTGTCATGACTTGGCATTGGTTTGCATGCATTGATCTAGGTGTTGGTATCATTTGGGAACCCTCACCTTGAGGCACCTGCATGGTAAGTGTAGTTGTCTGGAGAGGGGGGTTACAGCTTGCTTTGTGGCTTTATTATGAAATGTTACAGGTAGAATGCATGAGTCAGGATTTCTTCTTGTTCCTGGTTGACCTTTGTGACTAGTCTCCACTAGAACTTACCTGCCAAATGATGCAGCCAGTACAGAATTGGGGGCTAATGTAAGTAGAGTTGACTTGTACTGCTGGGAACTGAGTGTTCTCTGGCTATCTTCCTAAGGAGAAGATAATGAAACAGGCTTTAGTTTTAGAGTTTATGGTCTTTGGGTTCTTAACTACTCAGAAATTAGTGAGTAGTGA